CGGACAAAGAATGAATCCCAAGTCACTAAAGCAGATTTCTATTGTAAAAGTGTTTAGAACATACCAAGCAGACAAATTCAGAAATATTGGACTGATGTATAGAATTTCAAAACAAATAGATGCTATTTGGAGAACCCATACTATTTGAGAACTCTAGTTGTGCTAAGCCACTCCATTTGTTTGATTACATCAAGACACACAAACACTAAGAAATTATAAATTAACCACTTTGAAGACTAATGACAGTAATGAGTATATGATGAAAACTTTGATAGATTGCTAAACAAGCAACAGATAATACATTGGGCTAAACATTTATAGACATTTTTTACATAAACCGAAAGGCTTGGATCCGAAGAAATGCAAACAGCTGACAGTCCTGGACTTTAAAATCTGTATTCCTCCTGTGTCTCAAGGCTATCTACATTCTTACTCTGAAACTCATATGGATCATTAAACCAAAACTGGAATGAGATTATTGCTAAATATTTAAATCTTACAGTGCATGGTTCTTATTTCACCTTTAATGGTAGCTTTTAACACAAAAACCTGAGGGATTCGTGGTTAAAATCCCAGCATACTGTTTTTAATTACATCAGAAACAGGAAAGAGTTACTCCTGTATCAGAGAAGAGCAAGATCTATCAGATATTAAAATTAAAAGTTGATAAAGAAGAGAAATCCCATTGATCAAGAAGTTAAATTCACTTGCCAACAACTGAATAAAGAGCATAAGAGAGATATCTAAAAAAGATTTTACTACACATCCTTACATCTCTAGTGCATATGGTAGAAATGAAGAGGTACAAATACATCAGGATCATCCATGGGTAATCTATCCCACTTTAGTAATATACATAAGAGCAGTTGAGGAATCATTAATAGCTCAAAGATGATTAAGTTATCAACTCTAGAAAATATAGCAATGGACTTAGACCTTTATATTTTGGTAATATTAAATAAATAGACCAGAATACACTTCAGCAAACCTCACTCATCCAAGTTTAACTTCAATAGCAAATGGAACTCATTTGGCTGCTGTAAATATATATACGCACACACACATTTACAGCAAATGAGTATAAATTTTGAGTTTACATTATCATAAACAACATTTATGATAATGTAAACTCTAAATTATGTTTAAATAGACACATTTAATTTCAAGCAACACATTTAAATGTTCTTTGATTATGTCAGATCTAAAGATGAAAATGTGAAAATTCCTAAAATGTTTATCTTATTAAACAGTTATCAGGCTTTTTAATTTGTGTTGAATGTCTCTTTAGTCTCTGGATTTAAATATAGAGTCATCTTTCCAGTTAAATCCTTAAATGAAATTTTTGGGTATATAAAAAAAATAGCTTTATGAAATGGCTTTATGAAAAATTATTAACTAAAAAAAAACCACACAAATTAAGTAAGTGGAGTCTTTCTAGTTTTTAGTTGAACAAATTCTAATCTCAGATTATCAATGTTTAGTTTTTTCATTTACCCCACTTTCAATTGAAATAACTTCTAAACTATTCAATTTCTCTTAGCTGGCTGTTATATTTTAATTTTGATAAGTTTCAATTGTATTGATATAATTAAACAAAATGTTTATCTATGTAAATAATGTATACAAATATATGCATAAAGCAAACAGCTAAATGCATATATTGTCAAATTAAGATGATTATGATATCTCACTCATAATCAAATACTCAATAAAATGTCATTGTAATGACAAGTGATGATGTATTCTAAATATGAATCATTACATAAGAAATATCAACATTATATTATTCTGAATTACATGTTATTTAAATGCATTTTAATTATTGAAATACTGGTAAAGATATATTTAGGAATTAGGATTCCTCAGAAGATTAGCATAACTAATGATATTGAATAAAACTGTAAAATACATTTGTAGTTTAATAAGGATAGCCTCATTTACAGAACACGTTATTAAACCAAATAAAAAGTTTACAAAATTTTGATAGAACTAAGATCCTTCATGAGCATAAAATATCAATATAAATTTAGTTGAAATAAATCATATTCTTTTACCAACCATTAGGTAACCTATAGTTAATTAAAAATCAAGAGGAATGCTCTCCAACACTTAAAATACCACAAGATTAAAAAAAAAAAAAAATGCTACCATACTAAGAAATCATGCAAAAGGTGAGTATGACATTTTATAAAAAAATTTATGTGGGTATTTAGAACAAAAAAAAATATATAAAAAAACACAAAAGATATTCTCAAAGCCAGAAAGAAGATAGCTTTCTTGGAAAAGATGTCAGATACTGCAGTATAAAGTTAATAAAACTGATGAACACTTAAAAAACAGTGCCAAATGTGTACATTTAATAAATACATAAACACTATCTTTCGGCATTAATATACTTTAATTCTCATGCTAACAAGTACTTTGAACATTGATAAATGTCCTCCTAATAAGTAAGACGTTAACGAATTTAAATGAAATTTAAAGGAAATGTTCTTTAATGTTTCCTTTCTATCTTTTATACATCATTTTGCGTCATTGATTTCATTTGCGTTTGAAAATAACTTTAGAAATTTTCCACCAGTCTGGATTTGTTTCCTAGCAGAGTGCTAGGCCAACATCTTAACTGCTCAGCCATTCAGCTTTCAGTTGGTATCAATTAATGACATGATGTCACTTATGAAGTGATTATTTTGGATAATTTCATGTATCAATTATTGTCAAATAAATCATTTTTAATATTAATATCAATTGACAAAACAAGTTTAAATGATCCATTGATATAAAAATATGAAATAATACATTAAAAACTACTTTGTAAATTCATTTGAAACACCTGAAAATGTGAAGTAATATAAAATCAAATAAATACATTATTATTGATAAACAGAACATTTGCCAAATGTACCATTTGATGTCACTCACTAAATGATGTCAGTTAATTGACATCAATTGTATTTAGAATTTAAAAATATGAAAACATTAAGAGGATCATTTAATAACAATTCATATCATCTCCATCATTTAACAATGCAGTCATTTACCTGGTAGAAGGGAAAGGACTAACCATTTGTTACTATTTAATATCAATTGGCATTAACTCATATCATTTGAAATCATTTACCATTAGCAAATGATTTCAAATGTTTTTACTAGGAAAACTTTCAGCAAGCAGAGAGAATTTGAAAAAAAAAAAAAAACTGAATATTGAAAACTGGAGATATGTATGCAAATTGGAATTTCCATGAACAAATTTCCTATTTTCAAACAGCAGAATAATACAAACAATTCACGAATTCTCGACATATAGTGATTCATTGTCTTTCTAAATAAAAATTTTTTATGGTTACATTTAATTTCTGTATCTAGTATTTCATATACTGTACCTTATCATTATAAATAAACATAAAAATATACCATGAACTTAACCTTTATGAGACAAAATAATGAATTTTCCTGTGATGATTATATAAATATTTTTCGTAATATGACAATTGCACTTAGAACTTGTAATATTCTTGGCATCATTTCTTTTCATCAATAATTACAAGCAAAGTCGGCAAATTTGTTGATTCGCGTAGTAAATGCCTTTAGAATTGTTACTACGGTCGCTACAGTCATTTCGTAACTACCGTAGTAACAACTAACACCGTACGGCCGATGCACACCAGTGGAAAATTGAAAATCGCAACGAATGTCGACGACAGATTCAACTAATCGACTTTATCAATTGTCAAGGTGAAGATAAAGATTGACGCCGACTGTCGTCTGAAATTTTCCGCCCGTGTGAACCGGCGGCAACGCTACTTGCAAATGGAATCAAGATATATGCATAGTTTTAAGGGGGAGGGCGTCGTGATAGAGAGAAAGAAAGTTGAGACATTGTCTACAAGGGCTTTTTTGTGATATTGGTAGTATGTAGACCAAAACCAATTCTTTGTTTTCAAGGCAAAGTTACGCCTGAGTGCAATCAGCGCCATCTCTATGGGAACGCTGATCCGAAGTCAAATCATGGCGTTCGAAGATAGTATTTATACATCAAATGCCTTTTATCTGTATTTTAGATAATCAGTTAAACGTTTGGTTCAAACACAACCGACAATAGACTTATCATATACTAGCGTAGGTTTATTCAACAATTAAATTTATCAACACGCAAAAGACCAGTATGCATTTCAACAGCAAAAAACAATGTTATCAAAATGCATACTAGTCTTTTGAGTGTTGCTAAGTTTAATTGTTGAATAAACGTACGCTAGTATATGATAAGTCTATTGTTCGTTATGTTTGAACCAAATGTTTAATTAATTATAGCGTTTGAAGCTTCTTGTATAGTGTATACAAAACTCTTTTTTATAGATTGTTCTCCCCGTTTTTATAATCAGCGGGCGCCGCTGGGATTAGGCATACATATTTTCGAAAGAATGCCATCAAAATTTTCAAAATTGGGGATAAATTTGTAACACCAAATATTAATTAAAATCTTGAGTCGGACAGTGATGCTCAATATTTTGATTTTCGAAAAGATTTGTTCTCAAAGACATGTAGAAGCAAAATTAAAAAATAATCCTCTGTGCAAACTTCTTAATATTTTAAAAACTTACAATCATTTAACCAGCTCCATTCTTTAAATAGATCTGTAGCACTTGTAAATAAAGCAACAAAATGTTTTTTTGTTAAAAATTACAAAAATTTGCCACAAATTATCTATTTTGTTTACGAAATATAGCCATATATTTAACAAATGAAAATATAAAAGTAATAATATTTTTCTGCTTACGAATAGTTGACAGTATGTTCACTCTCTTTTACCGTTTTAATAATTAACTAGCCATTCATTTACATAAAATATACATAAATATACATCATTTTTATGACGATAAATATTTACTAAAGTAATTAATAAATAAAACAATTTAAATTAATTCCGAAATTAAATAAAACGCGTAACAACAATCTAATAGCGACTTAAAAACAATTGCGCGCATATAATTACGTTGCAATACACTCAGTTCACACTGGTCGCGCGGAATTGATCGCATCGCGAAACAAGCGCGACACGATGCGATGAAATCGATGAATATAAAATATATCAGTTTCATCGCACGTGGTTCTACGGCTGTCAAAAGGCGATCGCGACGCACCCTACAGGCAACTTATCGCTGGCGACAGGAGACAGAGAGACAATCGCTCGCTCCTATTTATTTTGTTGCCTGGAGATCGATTTGGCCAGATCAAAATGAAACACGATCCTTTTAATACGAAATTAGTTCAGGCGGTTAAAAAATATCCTTGTTTATATAATTATAAATTACCCGAATATTCTAGGAAAGACATAACCGATGTCGCATGGAGTAAAGTAGCGGAAGAAGTAAAAGAAACAGGTAAATTTATATTTATTTTTTAATTTATTTCTATTTTTCTTTATTTATTATTTATTTTTATACACAAAAATAAATTATTCATGTATTGTATAAAAATTGTCGAAAGTCTTTTGTCTCGTCGCCATTCTCGCCAATCTGTCGCGATCATCGTCACGTTTTATCTTTCATTTACCGTCCAGTATATATGTATAATTTTGTTTATTCTGCAGCAAAACAATTGTTCGTGTGTCACGGAAGGTGTTTTAATTATTAATTTCATAAAACAGCGCAAGAAAATATTGATAAAACGAATTTTCCGATAATCTTTTTGTTGGTATACGACGAATCGATTAACGTCTCCTGTAACGCCCCCTCTTGGACAGAAATCAATACTAATCTACTAGAACCTAATTCTGTACACGAATGAGATGTTCTACGAACGTGTATTGGAATGTTATTGGATTAAAATGTTTCTGTAGTATGTTTGATGCTAATAAATGTTTAAAGATTAAATTTTATATATATTTGTCAATTTTATTGTTTGCAACAAACATATAAGAGCTTCACTTAAAATCTAAACAAATTTACAAAGATTAAATTTTAAATAATTGCAATTTTTGTTTTGCTGTCAGAAAACAAAATTATAATGACATTCATTTACTATAGTAATAAAAAGGAAATTATAACAACAAACAATTCAATAACTTATTACACAGTTTACAAATAAAACTCGAAACTTATAATTCCGTTTGCGTATCTTTTTCAGTACCTCAGTGTAAAGAAAAATGGAAGAATTTAAGAACAGTTTTTGTTAGGAAACTCAGGCCATCATGCACGGGTACCGGAAGGATGACAAAACCTTATTACTTAAGTGAAATCATGCAATTCATTGTGCCTTATGTCAAATTGACTTCCAACGCGGATCATCCGAAAAACATTCCTTCACCACCGAAATCCGAAGAACAAACCGACGACGAAATTACTAACAACGAAGATGTAACGGAAGATGATATCGAGCAAGACAGTTCGTCATCCAAAGATCTCGAAATAGTTCAAGAAAATGCCCGAGAACCTTCGATACAAATGGAAAATCGAGGAATTAAACGTAAATCTCACATAAGTGATTACGACAAATCGTTCATCGAATTCGTGCAATCGCGAAAATGCAATAAAACAGACGTTAATCCGAGGAAAATGTTTCTTCTTAGTTTATTACCCGAAATCAACGAAATGACAGAAGCACAAATGAAAAAGTTCAAAAGAAAAGTTTTAGAACTGATAGACGAAATATCGTCGGACGATTGTACTCATATCTTATCGTGAATATATCGTGTAGTTCCTATCATGTCGATCTTGATGACATTTTTGTTAGATGCCAAATTTTATCTTTGTCATTACCTCATTTTATCGTTTAATTTAGTATCAAGGCCACATAATTGCATGGTTATAAAGTATTATGATCGTGCCCACGTTTTTTCAATCATTTGCTCAACAAGAATAGTGAGCATTGCTTAAATCGTGATATTTATTTCTTCACAAATGTTTAGTTTGTCATTTGTTTTTAATAAATTGATGCATAATAAATTAAAAATCTTCATAGAATTTTTAAGGAATCACAGTGATATGTTCATATGCAAAACAACTTACTACAGAAGGGGCGACGATTAATATATTTTAACTAACGGAAACAAGAAGCATAAATTGTCTGGTTAGGTGTCAGATTATATAGCACGATAATTAAATCATGCTACTGTATATAATCCTGCATAAACCGTAAAGAATAATGAAGCAGTTATTATGAGGTTTTCGGAACGATAACTCAACAGGGATAACCCACTTTTTTTCTTTGCCACCTTTCGGGGAATGCAGAGGTAGAACGCTTGATTGATTGGAACCTCGGTTAACGTTTTCACTCATTGCTGGTGTCAATTCTTCCAGCCCATCTGGGTGAATTACACCATTGAGCACTTGTAGTTGGTCGTGGAATTTCTCTGGTTTTCTTCAGTTTGTAACAACACCAAAATAGGGACTAGCTTCCCATTGAAAGTCCTCACGGGAGACATCTCCCCTCGGCTGATCATCCACGTGTCGCGTTGCTGTAAACAACTAATCCAATTGATTCTTCCACTAATTCCGGAAATCTTTGAAAATCTACACTGTTGCAACTGATATTGTAATAAAAACAATGTCTCGCATAATCCGATAATCATTATTCAGATAAATAGATAAAATCTAATAATAGAAGCGCAAAAGTTTATTATATTCTGCTGATATTCGCCATTGGACGACGCCATATTTAGATCTATTGCTACTCTTTCTTTTCGGCCAGAGTAAAGAGAGTACTCAGTGCAGTTTATTCTCAGCGACTCTATTAGAGTACTCTGTTGCTTTGCTCTGACTAGTCCAACATCAAGGAGAAGTGTGCTCGAGCAGCCGAATTCGCCATTAACGAATTCGATTCTCTGCTGCAGTTTCGCGTAACAGCTCGTATGCAAATGAAGGCAAAACGTCATAATAAGATGATGGTGGCTGACAACCTATACATCACAATTAAAATATATCCATATACCATACATATAAAATATCTAAGATCTTTGTTTAGAGAAAGTATAATATAAGGGACCATTCAAGTATTACGTCAGCAGTTTAAGGAGGAAGATTGATTTGCATCTGACGATGGGAGAAAGGATGACAATACTTTGGTAGCGTAAGATTGCACTTGTCGTTTTTCTCCCCAGTCATTACAAAATTATCTGAAAATAATTCCTGTGTATTTGTGAATGGTTTAAACTTTGACCTGGTGACAAGGGAAGGGATACCTTGATTCAATGACTAGTGATGATGGAGGGAGATTAAAATAGCAAATTTTTGCTGATGTAATATTTGAACGGTTCCTAATAGCAAATTAGTCTGCGGTCTGTGATAATTTAAGAATTATGTCATATTAGAAATATGAAGCATACAGCAGGACATACTGTACAGCACATAATAAACTATAATAAATTTTAAAAATTAAAAATCTTACTCGAAATAAAACATCTTTCGGCAATTAATTTCCATTTAAACGAACGTCATTCTTATCAAAAAAATGGGACTCCGTTTATCTCCCTAACAAATGCTTCAACGTTGCACTTTGCCCAGTAACTTCGTCGCCGCCATCTTGAAATTCCCTCTTTTTACGTCAACAAATACCACTTTCTGATTGGTGAGAATATTTTTCGCTAGCGAATAGGCACTAAACATGTAGGCAATTGATGAGGTGCTTTCGGTCCGACATGCAAATTGCAAAAAGAGAAAAAGTATTAGATTCTACATTGCATGTGTGATTTATGCTTTGTTATGTGCATGGTTATTCACTTTAAAGCTTCATTCATATCTACAGGCACGTAGCGTGGCCGGCACGTAACGTGGCAGACACGTCACAGACAATAGTTTTCACATCTACAACCCAGCATGCACAGACGCCTTCAGGCATAGTAGAGAGTGCACGCGCAAACCATGTTCCGAAAATTTTCGATAGAAGAACTAGCCGTGATGGCAATTTTACTAGAAGAAGAAGAATCAGGTTGTGTAGAAAAGCAACTAAAAAAAAGAAGGTTTGCTGTTCATCCCATGAATGTAAAACGAAAGAAAGAAGGAGAATTCTACACATTATTCAAGGAGCTTGTGGACGATGAGGAGAGATTTTTGAAATATTTTAGGATGAGTAAATATGAGTTCGAGACCATTGTAACTAAAATTAAACCAATGATAACTAAGCAAGACACAAAGTTCAAGGAGTCTTTATCGCCTAGAGAAAAAGTAGCCGTTTGTTTGAGGTAAGATCTTTATTGTAAATTTTACAAAATGTTACTAAGAGTACTTGCAACTACCCTTTTCTCGATTTTGGTNAATTTTTTTTTTTTTGAAAGAAAGTAATCCTTTCAAAAAAAACTCTTTATTCGATTAATTTTACAAGATTAAAAATAAATTATGTAAATAAATAACTTAGCTGAAAATAGAATTAAAAGGAAATAAGGAAAATAGAATGAAAATAAGATGTGACTCTTCATAAAAAAATAGCAAATGTAATTACCATTATCTGTTAGTTTTATCCTTTCATATTTCCTCTCCTTTGTTCCTATTACATAAACAAAAGAGGAGGAGGAAAGGCCATGTTGGAGATTCTCTTTATTCTTGCTACATAAACAACAGAAAATGAGATGAATCATGTTAGAATTAAATTACTATGCCTTCTATCATATAGCTTTATTCTAATTTTCTTTTAACCATTTTTCAAAACTACCCAAAAGTCTTAAAACAATAAATTCTCATTAACAAAAATGCTGTTTTCAACACATTTATTTCTGCTATAATATAATTAAATGCATTTAATTATAGTATAGCAGAAATGTATTGAATTCAATTAGAAAGAAGTGAAATCTAACATTATAAAACTCAAATGTATGGTTTTATTTCTACATTGATCGAGATTTTATTTTCATTATNGACGATAAATATTTACTAAAGTAATTAATAAATAAAACAATTTAAATTAATTCCGAAATTAAATAAAACGCGTAACAACAATCTAATAGCGACTTAAAAACAATTGCGCGCATATAATTACGTTGCAATACACTCAGTTCACACTGGTCGCGCGGAATTGATCGCATCGCGAAACAAGCGCGACACGATGCGATGAAATCGATGAATATAAAATATATCAGTTTCATCGCACGTGGTTCTACGGCTGTCAAAAGGCGATCGCGACGCACCCTACAGGCAACTTATCGCTGGCGACAGGAGACAGAGAGACAATCGCTCGCTCCTATTTATTTTGTTGCCTGGAGATCGATTTGGCCAGATCAAAATGAAACACGATCCTTTTAATACGAAATTAGTTCAGGCGGTTAAAAAATATCCTTGTTTATATAATTATAAATTACCCGAATATTCTAGGAAAGACATAACCGATGTCGCATGGAGTAAAGTAGCGGAAGAAGTAAAAGAAACAGGTAAATTTATATTTATTTTTTAATTTATTTCTATTTTTCTTTATTTATTATTTATTTTTATACACAAAAATAAATTATTCATGTATTGTATAAAAATTGTCGAAAGTCTTTTGTCTCGTCGCCATTCTCGCCAATCTGTCGCGATCATCGTCACGTTTTATCTTTCATTTACCGTCCAGTATATATGTATAATTTTGTTTATTCTGCAGCAAAACAATTGTTCGTGTGTCACGGAAGGTGTTTTAATTATTAATTTCATAAAACAGCGCAAGAAAATATTGATAAAACGAATTTTCCGATAATCTTTTTGTTGGTATACGACGAATCGATTAACGTCTCCTGTAACGCCCCCTCTTGGACAGAAATCAATACTAATCTACTAGAACCTAATTCTGTACACGAATGAGATGTTCTACGAACGTGTATTGGAATGTTATTGGATTAAAATGTTTCTGTAGTATGTTTGATGCTAATAAATGTTTAAAGATTAAATTTTATATATATTTGTCAATTTTATTGTTTGCAACAAACATATAAGAGCTTCACTTAAAATCTAAACAAATTTACAAAGATTAAATTTTAAATAATTGCAATTTTTGTTTTGCTGTCAGAAAACAAAATTATAATGACATTCATTTACTATAGTAATAAAAAGGAAATTATAACAACAAACAATTCAATAACTTATTACACAGTTTACAAATAAAACTCGAAACTTATAATTCCGTTTGCGTATCTTTTTCAGTACCTCAGTGTAAAGAAAAATGGAAGAATTTAAGAACAGTTTTTGTTAGGAAACTCAGGCCATCATGCACGGGTACCGGAAGGATGACAAAACCTTATTACTTAAGTGAAATCATGCAATTCATTGTGCCTTATGTCAAATTGACTTCCAACGCGGATCATCCGAAAAACATTCCTTCACCACCGAAATCCGAAGAACAAACCGATGACGAAATTACTAACAACGAAGATGTAACGGAAGATGATATCGAGCAAGACAGTTCGTCATCCAAAGATCTCGAAATAGTTCAAGAAAATGCCCGAGAACCTTCGATACAAATGGAAAATCGAGGAATTAAACGTAAATCTCACATAAGTGATTACGACAAATCGTTCATCGAATTCGTGCAATCGCGAAAATGCAATAAAACAGACGTTAATCCGAGGAAAATGTTTCTTCTTAGTTTATTACCCGAAATCAACGAAATGACAGAAGCACAAATGAAAAAGTTCAAAAGAAAAGTTTTAGAACTGATAGACGAAATATCGTCGGACGATTGTACTCATATCTTATCGTGAATATATCGTGTAGTTCCTATCATGTCGATCTTGATGACATTTTTGTTAGATGCCAAATTTTATCTTTGTCATTACCTCATTTTATCGTTTAATTTAGTATCAAGGCCACATAATTGCATGGTTATAAAGTATTATGATCGTGCCCACGTTTTTTCAATCATTTGCTCAACAAGAATAGTGAGCATTGCTTAAATCGTGATATTTATTTCTTCACAAATGTTTAGTTTGTCATTTGTTTTTAATAAATTGATGCATAATAAATTAAAAATCTTCATAGAATTTTTAAGGAATCACAGTGATATGTTCATATGCAAAACAACTTACTACAGAAGGGGCGACGATTAATATATTTTAACTAACGGAAACAAGAAGCATAAATTGTCTGGTTAGGTGTCAGATTATATAGCACGATAATTAAATCATGCTACTGTATATAATCCTGCATAAACCGTAAAGAATAATGAAGCAGTTATTATTAGGTTTTCGGAACGATAACTCAACAGGGATAACCCACTTTTTTTCTTTGCCACCTTTCGGGGAATGCAGAGGTAGAACGCTTGATTGATTGGAACCTCGGTTAACGTTTTCACTCATTGCTGGTGTCAATTCTTCCAGCCCATCTGGGTGAATTACACCATTGAGCACTTGTAGTTGGTCGTGGAATTTCTCTGGTTTTCTTCAGTTTGTAACAACACCAAAATAGGGACTAGCTTCCCATTGAAAGTCCTCACGGGAGACATCTCCCCTCGGCTGATCATCCACGTGTCGCGTTGCTGTAAACAACTAATCCAATTGATTCTTCCACTAATTCCGGAAATCTTTGAAAATCTACACTGTTGCAACTGATATTGTAATAAAAACAATGTCTCGCATAATCCGATAATCATTATTCAGATAAATAGATAAAATCTAATAATAGAAGCGCAAAAGTTTATTATATTCTGCTGATATTCGCCATTGGACGACGCCATATTTAGATCTATTGCTACTCTTTCTTTTCGGCCAGAGTAAAGAGAGTACTCAGTGCAGTTTATTCTCAGCGACTCTATTAGAGTACTCTGTTGCTTTGCTCTGACTAGTCCAACATCAAGGAGAAGTGTGCTCGAGCAGCCGAATTCGCCATTAACGAATTCGATTCTCTGCTGCAGTTTCGCGTAACAGCTCGTATGCAAATGAAGGCAAAACGTCATAATAAGATGATGGTGGCTGACAACCTATACATCACAATTAAAATATATCCATATACCATACATATAAAATATCTAAGATCTTTGTTTAGAGAAAGTATAATATAAGGGACCATTCAAGTATTACGTCAGCAGTTTAAGGAGGAAGATTGATTTGCATCTGACGATGGGAGAAAGGATGACAATACTTTGGTAGCGTAAGATTGCACTTGTCGTTTTTCTCCCCAGTCATTACAAAATTATCTGAAAATGATTCCTGTGTATTTGTGAATGGTTTAAACTTTGACCTGGTGACAAGGGAAGGGATACCTTGATTCAATGACTAGTGATGATGGAGGGAGATTAAAATAGCAAATTTTTGCTGATGTAATATTTGAACGGTTCCTAATAGCAAATTAGTCTGCGGTCTGTGATAATTTAAGAATTATGTCATATTAGAAATATGAAGCATACAGCAGGACATACTGTACAGCACATAATAAACTATAATAAATTTTAAAAATTAAAAATCTTACTCGAAATAAAACATCTTTCGGCAATTAATTTCCATTTAAACGAACGTCATTCTTATCAAAAAAATGGGACTCCGTTTATCTCCCTAACAAATGCTTCAACGTTGCACTTTGCCCAGTAACTTCGTCGCCGCCATCTTGAAATTCCCTCTTTTTACGTCAACAAATACCACTTTCTGATTGGTGAGAATATTTTTCGCTAGCGAATAGGCACTAAACATGTAGGCAATTGATGAGGTGCTTTCGGTCCGACATGCAAATTGCAAAAAGAGAAAAAGTATTAGATTCTACATTGCATGTGTGATTTATG